GGCCCGGGGAAGGCAGCGAACCCGAATCGGAACCCGAACCGTCGGGGCTGCTGGTCACCCGGCTGCCTTCTCTGCAGTAATTGCCCCGACAGACAGATATCCAGCTAAGGACGGGAACGCAGGAGGTTGGATCGACGGCGAGGTCCAGAACTTCTGAACCGCCTCGCTCCCAGAGCCAACTCCTGTGGAGGAGGAAAAACAAAACCATAAGAGCCCCGATCCTGGCCAAGGTCCACCGCTGCAGGCGCTGCGCGGCACTTTTGCTTGCTTATAAATTTGAAGACCAAAAAGACAGCATGCCAAAGACTTTAGACGCAGCATGAGCCTGGAGTATGGGTGCGCGCACGTGCCAGTCCTAACAGCATATCAGCCGGCCACACCTTGATAACTCAATCCCTCACTCAGCACATCGGCTCGTAGCAACCCTACCAGACTCTATAGCAATCATGGATCCCAGCACCGCAATGGAACGCTTCCTGGTCGGCCCGAGGCAAGAATCCATCAAGAGCTAAAACAGACTAGTGTGACCGGCTCGAAACCAGGTTGGCTGACTGGCGACGCGCGGACACCATCGGGAAATGCCAGCTCCTCAGCGACTCTTTCCGCGAGAGCACGCAGCAACACGAAGCCAGGCGGTCTGCTGGCCACGTGGAGGGTGGAAGGCCTCTGGTGGGATCTCGTCCTGAAGGTACAGGCGGGAAAACGAGAAGTGGAGGATGGACTGACATTCCACTGCGAAATGCCGAGGAAGAGAACGACCTTCAAGGCCCATCCTTCCTACGCTTACTCAAGAAGGCGGAAGCTTTGCACCGTCGAAAGAATCCTAAACCCCACACCGGCAGGTACGCGAGGCACCCTTGAAGAAGAACATCCTGCTGAAAAACAATTGGCGATGCAGGGCACCCAGGCCGCCGAGCACACGGCTCCTGCAGCGCCGAATCACCCGGGGCTTCAGGGACCCAGAAACCACGAGGTTCTGGTGGCGGGAAGAAGCCACCGACCACGCCTGCTGGGAAGAGGCGCTAGCAGCCTCGATCGCGTCTGCTCCGCCGATCACGCCCCAGGACTTATGATGCGAAGCCGCCGCCGCCAACTTAGAAAACAACTCCCGCAAAGCATGACAGCAAAGGCCAGGCCACGCCCGACCCCCCCGCCAAGGTCAACCGCCGCAAGCGCTGCACGGGATCATTCGTTCCGTCCTCGCCCCAAGAAACAAAAAACAGCCTCCCGCAAGTTCGGGAGTAGAAAGGGACAGGGACACACACACTCTCTCTCTCTCTCTCTCTCTCTCTCTCTCTCTCTTCCTTCTCTCTCCCTCTCTGTCAATCTATCTCTCTAGGGTCCACTGACAGCCGTACCTGGACCATGCAGCCTCGAATCAACGGCGTGCCACACCTCCCAACACTCGTGTCTTGCGGCACAGCAATGGAGCAGAAAGTCCACGAGATGCCGAAGCAGGCCTTGGTGATAAAGCGCCGCTGGGCCACTCGGATCTTCGCAGCTAAGAAGACGTGGGAGATCCGGGGATCCCACCTACGCAAGCGGGGACGCTTCGCCCTGGCCGTAAGCGGGGAGCGTCTGCTCGCCGGAGAGGTCACCTTCACGGATTCCTTCGCCGTGGGCATCTGGCAAGAAGGAGGCTGGCGCCCAATCAGCAACCGGGAAGAAGACCTGAAGAACTTCCTACTCCGGCCGGAAAACCTAGAGAAGCACCAAACAGAACCCAGCTCCATACCGTATCAGATCGATGGAAGACTCGGAAGCCTACAACCCGGAACGAACATACTGTCCATCGCCAGTGTCTGCGCCCATCCAACAAGCCGCAGGCCGAGATAGCTGAGTCCACGCGGACCAGCAGACCGGAGACGAGGAACAGATGCGGCACAGAGGCTCGACAGAGAAGCAGATCCCCAGCAGGAACGACCGAGAAAGAGCGAATGTCAGTCTCAACCCACGAAACTTCAACGTTCCCTCGCGGAAAATTATCTGCGACACCATTAAAGGACAGGCAGCCCACTCCCCAGCGTACCCCTTCATGCCTTACCCTTGACGCGCTCGCCCTTTGCCCTGGGACAAAACGCCATGGAGCGGATCAGCGAGCGGAAGGTGCATGCAGGAGAGAAGCAGCCATGCGCATGCAGCGGTCATGCTCCGAACGGCCAAGTCATCGAGCCCGGCGACCTCCCTGCCCGCAAGACTAGCTTCGGCTCGACAGGGCAAATCTAGTCACCAAGTACCGAAGCGCCGATCAACACGAAGACCCACGGCGCAATGGCAGATGACGCGACTGCAGCAGCAACAAGGTCCCTCAACGACAACCCGAGCAAGAACTTCGTTCCGGCAGGTCTGACAACGATACGATGCAGGACTGGGTGAATCAAGCACCTACGCGAGACGTGGTCGAGGCCGCGGCGAACGAGGCCGCCGCCAAAACAGCGCTGGCAAGCGCAGAGAGAGCACTGCTGCTGGCACAAGCTCAGCTCAACGCCTGCAGAGCGTGCAAGAGACTTGCAGCCAAGCACGTCAAGGAAGCAAAGAACAAGGCCAAGGAGGAGTTGCTGCGCCAGAAGCGAG